TAAATAATTTATCGAATAAAATTATATCCATTTCATATATTTATTGATTATTAGAACTTTTTTTTTTGAAAAAATATTTTGGTGTTTTCAATTTTTTTGGTTTAAAACAAATATCTGCGAAGATCCACATATCTGCAAATATCCAGAAAAATTGTGTGGCTTTTCATCCAGGATATCCGAAATTTTTCGAATAAAAGCAAATCAGAAAATTAGATATCCGTAAAAAACAAATCAAATCACAAATACTATATTTTTCTGGATATTCGATCCGCGCCCAGGGCTACCTTCTCTTATCACCCTTTACTTTGGATGTTTCACTTTCTCCGATTCACTTGCACTTGCATCAATATAATAGGTAACAATATTTCTGAAGGTAGTTAACTATGTTTTTGAAAATAAATAACTATTACAACATTTTTATGTAGTCAACTATGCTTTCAAAATAGTTTACTATGTTTTTAAATTGATAACTACTATGAAAATACTTAACTATCTTTTTAAATTGGTAATTATTTTTGAAAATAGTTAACTATGTTTCTAACTATGTTTCTAGATTGTTCAAAATAGAGTAAGGTAGTTAACTATGTTCTGAAATCAATTAAATATATAGTTTTGAAAATAGTTACAAATAATGTGATGTAGTTAACTATTTTTTTAGAGTGTTTCGAAAATAGTTAACTATGTTATTTATCTTCTAAGAGTGTTTCGAAAATAGTTAACTATGTTATTAACGCACATCTACTTTTTGCAGGCACATGAGCAATTTTTCTAGAGATTAAATTAAAAGAAGATCTTAAGGAATTTTTTTTTAATTTATATTTAACTTAATTATAGTTGTAAGTGTTATAAACCCAATTAGTGGATGCCCATTAGAAGTCCATAATCTAGAAGGTTCTATCTTGTTCTCCAAGTGAAGTTTCCTCTCCAAGTTATTATTCCTCCCCAAGTAATTGTATCCTATATATACCTTTGCTCTCTATTGGAATAAGACACACAATTCTCTCCATTCTCTTCTTCTCTCATTCATAACACGTTATCAGCACGAATAGTTCTAGNCACTGAGTAAACCCTAGCTTTTCTTTTTCTCCTCTTTGATCCGATCCAAAACCAAGGTACATAAATTGTCTTTGTGATTCNATTGATATCATACAAGTGTGTGTTTGTTAATCGAATAACACAAACTATGAATTTTGATTATTTTATTGCTTTGNTTGATCGTTATGGATTATTAATCATGCATTGATATTTGATNTGTTTAGTATTACAGTATTAATTAATGATTTGTGGTTTGCGTATTTGATCCGTTTAGTTACTGTTTGCTCATGTATCGATTCATGCTTTCCGACTGATTACTTGATCATTTAAATATTATCAGTTCATGATCACGCACGTAAAATCAGTTCATGATCACGCACGTAAATTGGCTTCACAATTTAGTAATTATATTTAATATGACATATCTCATCATCTATCGTTTAATAGTGAAACATGATAGTTTTGACTAAT